ATTTTTTATCGTAATGCACGTGACACAAAGTATTTACTGCACGCGTGAATCTGTCAAATTATAGCGAAATAGTATGTTCACGTGCAGATGCTTTTTAACATGTACATACACCCCAAAATATCAAGAGATCTCGTGCGTTACTTTTCAACCTATCGGGTATAACGCCGTATGTACTGTGGCATCATAAAGAGGAGAAATCGACTAGATGCGGAAATGCTTTTCCCCAGTTTCTATTAAGTAAACGCATGTACTCGGGAGGAAAATAGGGAGCAGTGTTGCTACTGCTATACTACAGCGAACGTAAAGATTAATTGGGGATGAGCAGTTGAAGAAGATGGAAAGTGAAATGAGAGAGGGGGAGATGCTCCTGGCAGAGAAAACTGGTAATCTTGATGCGTCGTTTAGCACCACTTACGACTCACAAGAGAGAATATTTTTACCTTTTTTTTTTTTTTTTTTTTCGGTCAATTATAAGTAAATTATGTTTTTCGTGTTCTAGTACTTGTTTTGTTGTTTCATAATGTAGGTATGACTAAAAATGTATACATATCACACAGATGTGTACTTACTGCTTATCTCAAGAGTTGAAGGTTACTTGGGTTGCAAAAGAGAATATAAATACTCAATGGACTCGCCTGAAACAAAGTAATTTAAAGTAATAGTTATCTTATGATGGATAAAAAAAGCAGCAATGTAATTTACGTATGTATACATTTGAAATCATGAAAAAATAGTGTTAAAAATAGTCTGATCGGATTCAGAATAATCAATTTAGGTTTTCAAAGATTATTTATTTATTATGTAAAGAATCTGTACAGTAGAAAAAACCTGCGAGATTTTCATTTTATTATAAGATAAAAGTAAAAAAGTAAAGCTTACATTTAGAGGATAAATTGTTCAAATCACAGCTGAGAAGTTCTTGCTTTCGGTCGATAAAAAATCAAACGGAAGTAAACACATGCCAATATCACGAGAAGCAAATAAAATAATCGGAACTCTCTAAGGGACTCTACTTCTTCGGGTCCCTCTTATTTTTATTTCTCTTAAATAAGGGTAATAAAGGGTATGTACAATATCCGAATCTCTCATTGCGTGCAATTTACAAGTCAGTCTACAGTGTGCAGCTCAAAAAAAAAAAAAAAAAAAAAATCAAAACTCGTCCCACTTCCGTAGTAAGACTCGCACACGGATTGTACATGCACCGAGAATGCATGCAAATATCATCGGAACGATGTTGTTACCACGTGTGAATGTACGCTTGTATGTGTATGCGCTGTGTCTCATACTGGTGGTCCACGTTCGCAAGAGTAGTAAGTACGGCTCGATATAATCGATCCCGGAAACGATCGATCATACACGTAACCGTGCGCTTCCAGCTTCTTCACCCTACCCTTATTTAATTTGTGTGCATATGGAGTTACTACACGTAGTCCTTAGGTTTCTTACGATCTCATTCGTACGTGCATGTATATATTTTTCCTGTTCATGGTAAATACACGCACGAAGATTACCCTTACTCGCAGGTAAAATTTTCAATTTTAAAGATAAGAGAGATGAGGAAGGGTAGGGAATTCCATTATAGGCAGCAAAAAGGTGAGATAATGTGATACTAGAAAAATTCAGTTCGGATTGGGATTTCCTAGCTTCAACTTGCTACACGGGACTGTTACGCATACGTTTGAATAAAGTGACTAGCGATAAATACTTATCATAAATATTTCCCTACGTTCAAAAAAAATCTATAAGTCTGTTTAAAATAACTAATTAAAAAATTTAAAAAAAAGAGAAAAAAACAAAATCATTCCAATATTTTATGTAGTAAATAAACGTGTACATGATTGATGAATAGAATCAATGAGGATCAAAATACATGATCGGATGACAAATGATCAAAATTAAAAACAAAACTTTGCTAACTTTTTCGAGATCGTGTATTTTACTGTATTTAAGATGCGTTAACTATTACGTATCAAATATTTGTGGGAAACAACAATTCTTCGATACGTATGTGTATAAATTACAAAGTAGTTTGATAAAATGTCGAGTAAGAATGTGTTCCAAGACCAAAAAAACCATCGAATTCTTTTGGTATATATGTAAGCTCAAGGCAATGCTGCTCAGCCATTATCTAATCTCAAGCATCCAATCATACACGAAGATACAAAAGAAACAAGCGTTGACCAGATAACTACGGCTATTCGTGAATTTTTCGACATTTAATCGCCCTCGTGAAGCCCCATTCAACAAAACAAGGAATGTATTGCCGGTGCCGGTATATTGCACGAAACTGCTCGTGGAAAGTCGCATATCTGTCTTATCCTTGCGTTAATTTTTTGGCAGCGCACGTACCTTGAGAGGCTCACCATTCGCAGACCCATTGTGACGCCCAACTTTATCGCCACTCCGCGACTGTCTTTATTGTTGCTCTTTATGTCAATTTTATCTTGTCGAGGAGGGAGAAGGTGGGATTTAATATCGGAGGTGATGGGTGAATAGCATATTGTTGAACCAGGAAGTGGGGTGGACTCTGGGATCGTACGTATATCCACATTGTGTAAGGTGTGATAAGTATAGGGTGGAATTTTACAGATTAGATGGTTTTTTTTTGGTTTTTTTTCTTAATCTGTACCGAAAGTAGAATTTTATTGCTTTCGATTGTCACCATTGTTTCACGGAGACGTTATAACAAGTATGACAATGTACATTCTGTAATTTTTGCGCAAGTATACGTTTCAGAAATTCAAGATAGCTAATAAAACTTTGAATACTCTTTAGTAATCGCTTGGATCAAAATAATTTTTGTCTAGTAACATCTGTAAGACGAAATCCCCCCGTTACTCGTACATATTAAGTATGTTATCAATGATTGTCATCGACTCAAATTTTTTGAAATGAAAAATTCTCTTTTCAAGCGCTTAACAAAAATGTGACGGACATGAATACCATTGTGGAACATTAGTTGTCATTCACACCATAATTAGCACGATGTGCGCGTGAATAAATTTACACAGTCTCTCATACGTAAAAGTTCAAGGTCATCTATGAAGATTTCAACGTCTGTGTTTAGGTTGTACATAAGGCCCAAAATATACATACATGTGTGGATGGAAGAGAGTCCGAAGCCGCAGTGGCATCAGCCGTAACTTTCACCGAATTTGCATCGCGAGAGTAGAGCATAGGTATAAATACAGCCCACGACGAGGCAAATTGCCAATCTCTTTCATAAAGGAATAACGAAGACGATTTGTGCTTAAGTATATATCTGTGCGCGTATAATTAGTATGCGAGTGAGGAAAAAGGGTGTGGGTTATTGTGGGTGTGACGTACATACAGGCTGTTCCTTCAGAGAAAGCGAGAGCAGGTTGAAGTTGTTCATTCGTTCCGTGCCTGCGTGGCGCTGCCAATATTTTACAACCCCCAATCCGTGTTAAATTTTATCGGAGGGAATTAGCTTAGGCAGCCACCACAGAAGCTTATTCTCACCCTTTTTTTCATAAACGCGTCCATGCCTCGAAGAAAATAGGTGACGACATAGCACACGAAGGATATTGGGCGAAAAAGGATATGCGTGTCTAATGTGGACTTGACTCCCGGCCATATGACGCAATTCAAGCAATTTTTTTTTCTCCATGAACTGTTTTGTGACCCAACTATTCACAAAACTAACTCTATCGATGATGACATTGCAGCCAGAGAAGAAGAAAAATACAAGCCATTCTCACCTCCATCGAGTAAGAGAAAGAAATAAGTACAAAGTAGGAGCGAAAAAAAGTAAAGGAACGACTGAAGAATCCGCACGTGTGCGCTCGCGTGCTGATAAAAGAGTGTGTTACATCTACCATATCCCAACTGCGTACGTTTTAGCAGCGTTACGTTATGTACTGTTACGCACGTACGCGTCACGTGGAGTGGTGGTTGTCGTACATGTACGCGGGTGAACTTTTTATTTTGCTAACGGTCCACCACATTTTTTCGTCACCTTTTGTCCGACCGTCCAGTCGTTGCCGCTTCCACTTAGTCGTGTATGGATATATAAACTGTTGCCACAGTGTAAATATGATACAGTAGCCGTATCCAGGAGTTGTGCAGACCAAGATTTTACTTTTATTTTTTCTCTCTCAAAAGGTGGGTCTTCCAACAAGCTCTTATTTCCTCCCAGGATTAACCTTGCGATCGATTTTTCGGCGTCTTCCCGATATCGTAATCAATTTGTCTGCTCCTTGTTTTTCACAGCGAACAATCCCGAATTCCTCGAACGAGAGTTCATTCACCACAGTCGAGTACCAAAAGAAAACAGTCCACGTTGGCCTTTAAAACGCAACGTCATCTCGGCGTTCGTCTCGGCGTGACCACAGGACACGTGTTGCGCGGTATGCATCGATACGGCATGAAATTGCGGGCCCTCGAGTGTGGCGAAAACCAGGGCTCCAGGGAGAACTTGGGGATAAAAAAGGGAAGAATGAGTCGTAGGTGGAGCCTCAACAGCACACACGGTTCGTAATGCTGTTTTTTTATGTGACCCAGGGGCCTTTGCTTGCTTTTATCTCCTGGGATTCTTCGCGAAAAGTGCCTTTGTTGCAAAAAATCATGAGACATATTACATGACATACCATTAGCCCCCATGGTTGTAACGATCCATACCAACTTCATCATGCTCAGTCTGTATAGCTACGACGATCGTTATAGAAAGTTTGGACTTACAGACAAAGAGCTTTTTCAATAACGTTTTTCTAATCCATATATTTTTTTACTTTTACTTTTTTTTTCTTTTCATACCATTTGTGCATCTTGTTTCAGCCACTATCGTTTTCGAAAGTCAGAGACTAATTCGTAAAAGCCATTTGTAATTTATAATTTTCTTACATGGTTATAAAATCTGATAGTACTTATTTGTACCGGTAATTTTTAACAAAATCACTATCGATAACAGAAATTTATTAGTCCAATTTATTTTTTAAATATTTATTTCATTCAATACAATACATGTTAGTGAAGAATGACTAAAACTCTACTTCACTAGTTGTATTATTGAATTCCCACATCACATCGTATGATTTTGTTTTCAATATAAGGTATCCTCCACTTTTATCGGCTCTCTTGATATCCATGCTGATGCCTGAAAGGGGTACAGGTCGATCCGAAACGACTGGCTGGATGTCAATGAACGGCAAAGTGGATTGTCCCGCGTCCTTGGATGAATATGCCGAAGGGGTGAATTTCACATATTTATGTGGTACACCATCTGGCTTATTTTCCACATCATCGAACGAAGTTGGTGTGTCGTACTCTTCCAGTTTCAGTTCGGTTCTGGAAATTGGTGTACTTGTGTAGAAAGTGAATTTTACGCGAGTAGTACACGAATTGTTATTGGAAATACAGTGTGTCATAATTGAAGTATTGAATTTCAGAGAATTGATAAAATAATTATCATGCATACATATATGTGTGAAATTAATTTAACATGCACTAATCAATAAATATGAAATTAATTATACGAGTTTGAATGTACTTAGTGAACATACCTGTTAAATGAATATTTCTTTGAGAACCACCAGTAGTTCTTATCGGGGTTTAATTTTCCAGTAGTGTAATTGAATTCCATTGCCATTATGTCTAGATTTACGTAAATGTAATCACTTTTTTCATAAATTAAGTCAAACTTCACACCAACAACGACTTCGTTTTTATTCAAGTCCATATCGTCCAGGTACAATCCACGTTTTTCATACCAGTCAAGTTTTACTGTATTTATCGTATCATAAAATTCACTAGTATCGTATACATTGTTCAGATTACGAGAAAAAGTGGGAATTTTAAGTTTATAATTTGAAAAAGGTTCAATATCCTTCCATTTAACAGATTTATTCCCTATCGATCCATACGGCTTCAGTTTTCCCTGTTGAATCTGAATGTGAAGAGTATGATTTACTAGAACAAATTTTACGCCAGTGACAACACTGTCACCGTCAATATTTAAAATGATTAAAAATCTTCTATAAAAACCTAAAAGTAAAATTCTTGAAAATTAATCCAAAGTAACTCACTAATTTTTTTTGAATTTCGACATGACGGGTCTTAAGCTTATGTACCGATCAGAGTTTTCGATTTCATCACAAATACAGTCACAAGCTAAAGTAGATACAACATCTGGAGTCATTGTATTCACAGAAGATTTGAATAAATATCTGTCAGAATTCTCATTGCAATAAGATGGCACAAAAATCTGGTCTACGAAAGAGAGTTTACTCAAATATTTGTATGTTTCATTGACAGAACTATATCTGCGACGTTGGCTTTGATCTTTCTAAAAAGAAGAAACCAAATCAATCATAACCGTATCATTTGGAATTGTAAAGCCACAAGTGAAAATTATTATACTGACCAAAATACATGCGGAGATGGGCTTCATAAATTCAAGCGCCTTGCAACCCACTACATTGGTACAACGGCGCTGTTTACTTGAGCAAGTTACTAATTTGCATATGGGTTCTGCGCCTTCATTTTTTAGCGGTTCTGGACAGAAATCTCTTCGAGGAGGATTAAAAATCCCAAAATTTTGAAAGTCCCAGCCTTTGTATAATACTCTTTGAAAAAGCTTGAGCTCAACAAATGTTTGGTCTTGAAAAAAAAAAAACAAAAAAAAACACACATTTGATTTGAGTCACATAAACTATAAGTAAAAATTAAATAAAGTGCAGTACTAACTTTCAACGGGTGTTTTTGGATCACACTTCCATAACTCTCGTTCGGCACGAGACATCATGATTTTGAAAGTTTTCATTGTATTCTTAATCATTCTGCGCACAGACTTTTTCCAATCTTTGTTTTCCTGCAAGTTTTTGGCTAAAACAGTAAAAATAGATTCTACTAAATGAGGAAACAATTTTAATATACGAGATGTGAGAAAAATCTTGATACCATCTGTGATGTTCTGGTATTTAAGTTTATAAGCATGTTTCAAGATTACTATGCCTTTGGTCTCATATGACAAGTAAGTACGAAAAAAATTGTAAAGATATCTCTGTCGTGTTTCAGTTCTTCCACAATAAGGGTCCAAATTCTTCACACATAAATAAATTATAAATAAGTTAAAAAGTGTAATCATGCTATAAAAATTTTTTAAAAACTGTGTTCTCACGTCGATATATTTCTCTACGAGGGCAACAAGACTGTTTTTATCCAAGGCAATAACATCATTGTGCATTTGACGTAACATATCGAGTAAATTTTTCGTCTCTTCAGCATAATTCAATATAGTTTCGGGTTGATAGCGAGATATGTTCTGATTGTACTTGATGTACTCATCGTAACGCCTGTCAATGTTACTAAATGTCAATCTCAATGAGTTCAAACGACGATGCATGTCAACCTCTCTCGGGATATGATGTTCAATTTCCTTCAAGTTTATTTTTAAATCTCTTATATCGTTCCTTAATGACTGATAATGAAGATCTTCGGCTGTCGGTTTCAATTCAGTATTCTCAAATTTTTTTGAGAGGAAATCGTAAGCTGAATACAAATATCCAAAACCTTCTAGTAATGTTTCTATTTGAGCATTGGTGATGGAAAATACCAAGCTCAAAAATAGCAGTTTAAAAAAGGTTTTTTCACCCCACATCTTTAATGCGAAGTAATAATATCCCTAAAAACTAAAAATTTTGATAAGAATAAGAACAAATTCTATATTTTTCGCTACAGTTTATTATGATAATAAAGTACGTTTCGTTATATACAGTTTTATTACGTGTTATTTAAAAAGTATCAATGTAATTTGAAATACAGCAAAATAATTTTAGTAATAAATATTATGTTTACTTACTATCGTGACGGACGTGGCCCGTAAACGAGATTTAACCCAACGCCCGTCTCCACCGTCCTTTGATGATAATCTTCTATAACACGATCAATCAGAGTAAGTTGGCGTTGCAAATACGTTAGACCACTCTGGTTCTCATGGATTAAAAAGTACTGCTTATATACGATCACTAATGTGCTTAATTTTCCATAACGAATAATAAACGTCATTTTTTAAACATACTTTTCTAAAAATGTTTAATAATTCATGAACTACTCATACAAAAATGCCAAAAATAGGCCATCCAACGCTGTTCATAATATTTGGTTAGAGAGTTAAAGAATCATCGAAGGCACATTAGATGTGAGGAAAAAAAAATTGACATCACATACAGCATGTGGAAACATCGCTCATCATTGGTGATAAAAATACTCAAATATGTTTCATTTCAATAGACACTTCGGTGGGTAATAAGGTAAAGTAAACAAAACTAAAAAAACTAGTTGGTAAAAATTGTACACTTATGATTCAAAGATTAACAATGGTCATAAATTTTGAGTGATGGATTTGCCAAATTATTAGCAGTATTAACTTTCTTTTTAATTGACGCATGCATCTGTAATAGTTTAGTATTAACAATAATGTAATAATTTAGGAATTTCAAAAAAACTGCTCAATATCTTACAAAATCGCCTGGTTTCCAATCAGCTAATTACTTAACTTATAATAACAGTGCGTGATCACACAATTGGTTAGTCAATTATAGGCACGAATAGTTGCCAACCTAAGAGCTGACCGATACATCATTTCCAAACAGAGTCTGTGTACCATCAATGTAACTGCATGTATTATCTTTTGTAGTTATTAAGGAGGCTTTGGCATTAGGTGTTGTAACAATTGAGGGGCCTTTTTTTAAAGAGGTATTTATTTCTTAAAAATCGCTTAACTTACATATATATTTAATTACATATATTGCAATTATTGCAAGTCGGAAAATATCGCTAAAAACAAAAGTTATACTACCTTATTATTATTATCTATACATGCGCAAAAAAAGACAAATTACTTTTTTCTCAAAATCTTAGTCATCAATAGACTGTTCATACAATAGATTATTTATAAAAAAAATAAAATTTGTTTATAAATTGTATATTACGTTAAATGTAAGAATAAGAAAAATTTGATTGAAAGGCTTGGTTGGTGCTGACGATTGTAAAGGATCATTTATTTTTTAATTTGAAACATCGTTTTTCGATGGATTAATCCATCAGTGCATGGATGGAGCCGTACATGGTTGATAACACACTTATTTCAAATGAATTTAAATTTATAAAACGCGGCTTACCATGTGGTGTCGGCCCCGCCTACTACACATAAGTATTTTTTATATTTTGTTTATAATACTTGAGCAAAAATCGTTTAAGAAAATTTGTAAAAAATAAATTCTTAACAAGCATACGTGATCATTATCTTTTTAAATGTTTATGAAAAATTACAGTACTATGCATTAAAGAATCATCACAATCATTGCTGGGGATAGAAATAGACCAGTATTCAAACTTTTTAACAGTTTTTATTAAATTATTTTTAATACATGTTAGATAAGAGTAACTAAAACTCTAATTGTTCAGTTGTAGTATTGAATTCCCACAACACGTCGTACGTTTTCGTTTTTAATATTAGGTATCCTCCACTTTTATCGGCTCTCTTGATATCCATGCTGATGCCTGAAAGGGGTACAGGTGGATCCGAAACGACTGGCTGGATGTCGATGAACGGCAAAGTGGATTGTCCCGCGTCCTTGGATGAATATGCCGAAGGGGTGAATTTCGCATATTTATGTGCTACACCATCTGGCTTGTTTTTGATATTTTCTAATAAAGTTGGAGTGTCGTACTCTTCCAGATTTAGATGAGTTCTGGAAATTATTATACATAAAAAAAGGGTATTTTATGTAACAGATAATGGTGATAGAACACGCATTTCACTTGCATTTATACATAATGTATAGTTATAAGAACGAACATGTACGCAGTGCAAGTGTATATGTACAAGCACAAATATAATTTTTTATACATACCTGTCTAACGAACGTTGTTTCAATGACCACCAATAATACTCTCTAGAATTTAATTGACCTTTATTGTAATTAAATTCCATTGCCATTATGTCCAGCTTGACGTAAATAAAATTGTTTTTCTGACGAACTAAGCCAAATCTCACACCAGCAACGACTTCGTTTTTCTTCAAATCCATGTCGTCCAGATACAATCCACGCTTGTCGTACCAGTCGAGTTTAAATGTTTTCTTTCCCTTATAAGTATCACGAGTCTTGTACTTCTCTTTATCATCTGGAGTAAAAGTGATGATTTCATCCGCGTACTCAGTAACTGTTTCTATATCTTTCCACTTAAGGGATTCTTTATTTATCGATCCATACTGCTTTAGTTTTCCCTGTTGAATTTGAATGTGAAGCGTGTGGTTTACTAAAACAAATTTCACGCCAGTGACAACACTGTCGCCATAAATATTTGAAATGAGTTGAAATTGTTCTGGAAAACGTATAAATTGGATTCTTAAATATCAATTTTAGGTAACTTACAAATTTTCTTCAACATCTGCTATAACGGGTTCCAAGCTAATGTACCGATCAGAATTTGTTAATTCATTACAGATACAGTCACAAGCTATATAATTTATACTTGTTAATCTTACTGTAACTAAAGAAGATTCAAATACTCTTCTTTCAGAGTGTTTGTCGCAGTAACTTGGTGGGGAGATTTTCTGCGTCAAACTGAATTCATCCATGTATTTGTGTGTTTCATTGACAGAACTGTACCTGCGACGTTGACTTTGATCTTTCTAAACAGAAGAAAAAAAAATAGTTTACAAAGAACATCTTTTTAATTACTACTTACACAACTAATAAAAATGGTCGTACCAAAATACATGCAACAATGGGCTTTTTGTACTCGAGTGCCGTGCAATTCACTACGTTACTACAACGGCGCTGTTTGCTTGAACAACTGAATTCACATATAGGTGCAACGCCTTTATCTTTTTGCGGTACTGGACAGGAGTCCAATTCGGAAGGTTTTGACCCAGATGTTGACGTAAAATCCCAGCCATGATATAACACTCTTTGAAATAGTTTGAGCTCAACAAAATTTTTATCTTAAAAAAAAAAAACCAAGACACTTGATTAGATTTCGTCCAAACCAAAATTAAAAATAAACATAAAGGCCAACGCTCACTTTCCGTAGGTGTTGTTGGATCGCACCTCCACATGTCTCTTTCGGTACGAGAGATAATTGTTTTAAACTCTTTCATAGTATCCCTAATTATTTCGCTTGCATGCTCTTTCCAATCCTGCTTTTCTTGCACGTGACTAACTGAAGCAGTTAAAATTTTTATTTATTTTTTTTATTTTTTTTTTTTATTTTAAACAAGATAATTTTCAACTAAAAGCGGGAAAATTACATTACCATGCGTGGAGTTTTCGTATTTCATTTTATAAGCGTATTCCAATATGACGATGCCTTTTATCTCGTACGACAGAATAGTACGGAAAAAATCGTAAAAATATCTTTGCCGTGATTGTGTTTTTTCGCAGTAAGGGTCTACATTCTGCGAACACCAATTCTCAATGAATAAAAAAATTTAATTACACAGCTTACATTTACGAAAAATCATGTATACTTACGTTGATATATTGTTCAATAAGATTAACTAGATTATTCTTAATAACATCTTTATAAATTCTATCCAGCGTTCGGGGCAATTCATTTGTCATTTTTTCAGCATATTCAGATAAAGTTTGGGGCTCGTAGCGAGATGGATTTTTTTTGTATTTGATATACTTGTCGTAATCCCCATCAATATCGATAAATTTCATCCTTACTTCCTGTAAACGGTTGTTAATATTCACTTCCGTCGGAAGATTATGTTCCATCTTCTCCAAATCCATTTTCAAATCTCGTAGATCGCTCCGCAATGACTGATAATGAAGCTCTTCTGCCGACGGTGTTACTTCGAAATTTCCAAAATTTGTGGAAACAAATTCGTAAGCTTGATACAAATATCCAAAACCTTCTAGTAATGTTTCTATTTGAGCATTTGTGTTGGAAAATACCAAGCTTAAAAGCAATAAACTTAATAGTGGTGATTTACCCCACATTTTTTTTATGAAGCAATTCCTTTAAAAATTAAAAACGTGAATGAGAATTAAAAAAAGTGTTAGACTATTCCTTCATGATAATTGGCAAAAATCGAAATATTTTGATCTTAGTGGTTTCTTTACACTATCGAATAATTTTTAATACTGTGTAAGCGTACTTACTATTAATTTTGAAAAATTTCTAATTTGATATTGCAACCATTAGAAAACTAATGAATAACTGTGTTCTGCGTTGGATGAATGCTGTACTTATATACGAAAACTAATGTGCTGAATCAAACATAACAAAATGGTAAGCATCCTTTTCATTGATTATAAGCTTGAGTGCGCAAATACTGTACTATCTGGCGTAGTTCATAATATTTGGTTAGAATGATAAAAAAAAACTCATCAAAAAAGTATCAAGTGCAAAGTTAAAAATATAATATGCACCAGGTGAAAAAAGATAAAATAAATTGATTCGATAACAAAATTTACTTCAAAAAAATTATTTAAGTGTTGTAAAATTATTGCACGGTTGCAACAATTGAAAATTATGTTTAAGTAGCTTTAAGAACTGTTTTTAAAACCCAACTGAGAGGTCTAATAAAGCAAACTAATTAGCGTAAAAGATAATAATAGTCTGTTTACGTTACAGCCACAACTACTGTAATTAGTAAACTATTACATTAGTAAGAACACTTTGCTTGACGTAATGATTACAAGTAGCTGATCCAACAAATGTTTTAACCGTCAAAAAAAATTACTTTTCCGCCCTCGGGTGGTTTTGGGAGGCTGGTACTTCCTCGGGCGAAAAAGCAGTTTTCCGGAACTCGTTCGAAAAGTCTCCTTTACGAACCTCGTTACGTCCCTCGCCTTCGGCTCGGGCCGCAAACCTC